AGACATGCTCAGGTATTTCTGTGTTTTCTTGCTGACCTTTACACAAGTTTCATCAGCAACAAGAAGAATGAGAGTTACTGTGGGCAGATGCTGTCATGCCCATGAGTAAGTAAGTAAGTACGTGGCTCCTTCCCCTCCAGGTGTGCAGATCAAACTGCTCCACAGGGCTCCTGAAATCCTCCTGTGAGGTAAGAGGGTGCTGGTTGTGTCCAGTATTTGATCTGAGCCCTGAGCTCCCCAACGTAACTGTGGATTTACAACAAAACATCTATTCATCTCCAGCCAGCTTTATTTTTAAGCATCCCCTTGGCACGCGTGAATAAGTTTTGTCTATTGGATTCTGTTCCTGAGGCTGCACTTTGTTCACTGCAAATTGCAAATACAGTTGCAGGAATTATTACTATTAGTAATGTAATGGTTGTGTTTGAGATGCTGGCCTGAGAGAGAGGCAGCCATGGCTCTTGCCCTGAGATTTTATGATCATTGAGCTTTACAGCCCTGCAAATAGTGAGTGTGAGATGGGAAATGATCAGCACCATCAGCCCTGTTAGGGAAGCTGCAGTTTCAAGCTCAGGAGCTGATTTAGTAAGGGGGATTGACCAGAATAACCCTGCAGCACGAGCCATTTGGCAATATTTCATGCTAGAAATGCTCATTCTGGCCATTCTCTCCCACACTGAGCATCGGGGCTGCAGGAGCCGAGCAGCAATCGCCAGCATCCTGCAGGTTATAGGAAAAAGGTTCATCTGAGAAGAAATTACCAGGAGGACTCAGGACCTGTTGTGTCCCTCATCGTGGTGACAATCTGCTATGCAAAAGGGGCCCTTAGCTCCTGTCAGGAAGTATCATTGCAAAATTCCCTGGGGGAAAGGGCTGCGGGGAAACCACTGACTCGGTGACATGCAAATATTTAATAAGGAGGCACCGAGTTCAACAGCTGTGGGCTGAAATAATCTGCATGGTCAATAAAGGCACAACATTTCCTGTCAGGTTTATGACTGATAAAATATGCTCTGGTACAATCTGAATTAAGTATCTTGGAAAAGCTCATTTGGGCAAAAATCTGACACGTTTTGCTTCTTGCCTCAGCTCAGCATGAAAGCCACACACAAGATGTTGGCATCTCCCAGCATGGAAATTCTGCTTTTTGGCCAGTCTTAGTATCCATAGACAAGAGCAATTCAGAAAAGCTCAGGGAAGCTCATGCAGACGAGATTTATTGCCCTGCTTCTGGCTTGGTTTGGCAGCAGAGCAATAGGGGACAGCTGGTTGGTGCAGAGCTCTGGTAGCCACCTCCAGGAGACCCTGCCCCAGGGCTGGGATGTTCCCTCCCTGCTGGCCTGCCTGCAGCCTGAGCAGGCAGAGCAGGAGCAGACACCAGGGTGTTTCCCCTTAATCATCCAGTCTTGGTCCTTGGAGCGAGGGATGGGCGAAGGAGGCCACAGTCTGAATCTGAAAAACTTAAACCATGTGATGTTTGGATCCCAGCTCAGTTTAAAACAAGTTAAGTGAGGGGGGAGGCTCAAAATCTGCTCCTCCTGCCCAGGCCTGACACTGGGGGATATCTGCTTCACCAAAGGAGCCCCCACAGCATCACAAGCAGCTGCTCCGTGGAACCACAGCCATGGGGACCCTCTCCTGCACACAGCCCTGCAGCTGCAGTGCTGGGCAAGAGCTGCCCTCAGGGAGCCAGAGGGATGTCACCCCACAACCCTCCCCACCAGCAGCACAGCCCCAGCATGGATCCTGCCTGTGCAGCCAGAGCTGAGGCACAAATAACAGCAGGAAACGTCTGGAGCTGATTCCTGGAGCCGCAAGAGAGGCTTTGCCTGCAGAGCTCGATGGTGTCTGTTGTACTCTGGACTTTGGCTCGTGGCAAGGTGAATTTATAAGCTTGGGGTGGCTTTTGCACAAGCAGCAGCCAATGGGAAGGCAGCAGGAACAAGCCTTGGAGCCAGGGACACCTGGGTTGTAGCTCAGGCAAGATATGAAATGTCTCAGACCATTGCTGATGCCTTCCATGGCCCCAGTCCACGCACTGGGACTGGCTGAACTTGACACAGGGGTGGCAGCTCAGAGGCTGGAACAGCCTCTGGCAAGGAGCATGGAGCTGTCCCGAGTGCAGGTTTCACACAAAAGGAATGCTGTGCAAACAGGACTTCCAGCAGAGCATGACGCTGAAGACACAGCTCCTTGCCTGGAGCTGGAGATGGGGAGAAGTGAGAGCCCTTCAACCCTTCCAGCCACAGCTCCCCCACTGGGGAGTTGAGCTCCTTTCACACAACAAGAGACATTAACCTGATGTTTTAAAAAAGCAGAGCAGATGTGACCCAAAGCAGGTTTACCTTGTACCCACCAGCCAGAAAGGCTGGACTGAACCATGGAGGAGCCCATCAGCCTCTGTGCTCCAAGGCCCTGCTCTGCATGGCCGAGTCTTCACCTGGACTGTGCTCTCCCAGGGAAGGCAAGCAGAGTGCAAGGGGCATCAAAGCTACGCTGGGGCCTCCAGGCAGTAAATGAAACCAGGGAAGCTGCGAGGAGGGAAGTGGGCACTGCAAGAGGTTTGGGATTGCACAAGACAAATGTTGCACGGGCTGGTGAGGAGCAGGATCTGAGGGGTGGTGTGGGGCACAGGCAGCACCACAGCAGCCACTCATCGTGAGCTCAGAAGTGTGGTGTGTGATGGGTTTGGCTCCTCATGGCTTCGAGGGATGATGTGCTTGGCACAGCTGTGTAGGCACACCTGGGGCTCCTAAGGCAGGGAAAATTCGCTCCCTGCCTGTTACATCTGCTGGCTGAAAAAATAATTGCCAAAATTCACAAAGGGACACCTTTCTCCATCCTGGGTGCTCCTGCACCTGTTCCTTCTTTGTATCACGTCATGCCCACTGTCACTGGCAGGTAAAAGGTGTCTGCAAGGACTGAACTACTGCAGTGGACATGAGTTAAGGGCTGCACCAAGAGCAGTGATTCACGGTGACAGAAAAGCCACAAATTGTGAAGAAGCATCACAAAATAGGAAAATCAGCTGAATTTCAAGGGAGAGGCAGGAAGCAGATTTCATTGCCCTGCAATTGCCAGCTCCAAGCAAGAGACACTCGGAGCAGCTACTGCACAGTGGCCTGGGTACCAAAAAGCAGAAAACACCCCCACAAACCACCACTCAAAAGCCACAAACTGCCAGGGAAGAGCTGGACCTTGGACCTGCAGTGACTGTCAGCTGGAGGAGCAATGCAAACACTGATTACAGCCCACATCTGTGGCCAGGGAGAAAGGGAATGCTTCCCAAGCAAATCATCCCTCATGGCTGCATGAGGAACAGGAGGGTCAGATCCCTTCCCAGTGCCAAGGCCAGCAATCAAGCTAATCATCAAACACAAAGCAGTGCTCTGTACTCCAGCACTCTCCATGCCTCATCTCATCTTCTCACTGCAGTCAGTCTCTGATGCCTCATGAGATTAATAAACAAACAACTAAATCAATACAGTCATCTCAATCCCTGCAGGCCACAGGCTGTGAACAACACAACTTCTGCCTGAAAGAAGTATCAGTGTGGAAGAGATGCTCTCAGGAGAGAAGTCCTGCACCCCAGCTCCCAGCTGTCCAAAAATTAACACACACGGGAATGGTTGAGCAGTGCCATGGCAAATACTGAGCAGGTCCTCCCTTCCCACAGCTTCCTTATCATCTCAAGCATTGCCAGATAGCCTGAGCCTCCCTAAACCCAGGCACTGAAGGAGTATTTTCATTCTTCATGACAGGCTGGGAAATAATCTGAGCTTATTGACTTGACACGGGGCTGCTCTGCAAACATCAGTGTCTGATGGGCCTCGGGCTCTGCAGTCCTGTCAGCAGGGAACCTCAGCAGAATCCCTCTGCTGAGAGAGGCCTGTGTATGAGAATGAAAGTAAATTAGGTCTGAACAAGATTAACGGGGATTTAATTGAACTATGTGAACTGGAACTCCAGTCACGAGCTACTTATCCGCCTGTCTCAAGGGACTGCGCTGCTGGCACTGGGGGAGCACAAGGTGCACTGTGAGCATGGGACAGCTCCAGGGGACAGCCGTGGCCACAGCTCTGGAGATGAGCATGGCCAGAGAGGCAGAGCTGCTTGACTGTGATCAGAAACAGGGGAGAGAACTCCCGAGTCCCAGCCATGTTTCTCAGAGCTGAGGCATGTCCTGCTGAGGGACAGGAACTCCGTGACACACACCAGCAGAGGAAATCCAGCCCTCAGCCAGCTCCTGACTTTGGGTGGCAGAACAAGGTGTGGCTGCAGAGGTGCTGTCTACTGGCAGATACCTGGAGATAACCTTTGAAAACCTCCCCTTCAATAAAATTGACTTAATGAAGTCTCCAGCTCCCTTTGGGATGTTAATTACAAAACAGCCTGGAAAAAAGTGCTTGAGAATGAAAGGAGTCACCACACTAGTCCTTCTCGGGTTTGGTTTTCTGGTGAGAGAACCAGCAGATACTTGCCACAGCTTGGCTACCAAGAACCAACACACACTTGCCAGAGCTTGGCTACCTCACTGGTCTGTCTCACTGCAGCCAAGAAGAGCCACCAGGCAGCCCCATGCTGCAGCCATGCAAACCTGGGCTCCTGAAAATCAAATCCCTTTTAGCAGCCTGAATTCCCTCTAATCCCCTGCTTGCACTGTTAACAAATGATGCCTTTATTGGGGTTACCCTCATGGGAGCTTTAGAGCCCCTCATGGGGAGCAAATTGATTTAGTCACTGGCTGGTTTTCTCTTCTTTCCAGAAAGGTGAAGCAGTGTTAGGAGCTAGTTTGCTACTCCCAAGTCAAGCACAGATACAGATGCACACATGCCTGGCAGTATTCACTAACCAATTTCTCACAGATTAAAGGATCTGAAAGGATTTCCCTTAATGGATCATTTCAATGAATAGGTTATTTATGTTCCTATAGTCTGGGAGCTCTGGCAGCTTTCACAGTGAATGTGAGGGAACAAGCAGCACAACTTTAAACACAGGTATCTTTTATAACAAAGATTCTGATGGCATTTATTACACATTTCAGGACAAACTAAAATACATGGGTTATTGGTAATCTCTACATACTCTAAGTTCAGCAAACAAGATAATTCAAATAGGTATAAAGCTGTCAGGAATGGACTGGAGAATTTATCTTCATCCCTCTTCCCCCCCAACAAAACCAAACCCCAACATCCATGATTTCTACTGAGCTATGAGTGAGCCAGCCTGCAAATAGCTGGATGTGGACATTGATGTAGTAGCTGCTATTTCAGGTACCAGCCACACAGTGCCCACTGCTAACTGGTTCTGAGCTGCAGAACTGACTCTGCATTTTGGATAATGTGTAAAGCATTAACCCCCTGCTTTAGGTAACCTGCAGAAAGCTAGAATTTGCATAAATCCATTCTCATGTATTAAAATGGAAAGAGTGATCTGCAGTACCTACTGAGGGCTTTTCTTTGCCCTGCAGATCAGAGACAGAGCACAGGTCCATCATGGAAACTCATGGCACAACACTGTTCTTTGTTATTTGCATGGGAACTTTTTGTAATATTTCTTTGTACTGAGAACTTAACTTTAGAGTGCTTGTGTCTCCTATGCTTTGTTCTGTCCTCCTGGTACTGCATTCATGTAGCTCAAAAAAAAAAATTAAAAAACAGAATTTAAAGCAGAACTCCAAGCTGGATTTTAAGAAGTACAACTTGGTGCCAGCATTCTGGCTAAGGGCATCAGAGAGCCTGGAGCAGGGAAGTCAGAGTCACACTGGTACTGGGATCCATCTGTCACCCCCACACCAGCAAGAGTGAGCAGAGGACGTGGCTGTTCTCAGCACTGATGGTTTCTGTAAATGTGCTGTTCACCTGCTGTTAAAGAACACACACCTGGGCTCACCAGGCATTTGTGACTCGAGGTTGGAGTCTGTGTATGCAAAGAGGATCACAGACTTGCAGCCCTGCCAGGGAGAACCCCTCCTTCAAAGCTGCTCTGAACCCTGGGTGCGCCTCAGAGAGCAGGTTCTCCTCCCCTTGACTCACTCCTGATCAAACAAACCAAGATGTGAGCTGGCATCAGGAAGCTTGAGCTGCTCGACAGAGACTCCGTGGCTACGTCACCACCTATCTCCTCCAGTCCTGTCTAGCCATATTTAAATCCAATCCTGGATTGTCCCTGGGCCTGGAGAGCCAGAGCCTGAAGGAACACAGAGTGTCTCCTGCCATACAGTCAGGGTACACAGCTGGCCTGCCACCCCTTGCATCTTAAAATACCACATCTCCTCAGGCTGAGAACATGTTCACCCTCAGGAGGAACTCGGCCAGAGGAGATGGAGCAGACTGTGGCAGGAAGGCTGGGAGGGATTTGCAAGTGCAATGATCCCCAGCTGTGCTGAAAGAGGGCCCTTGGTCAGGGCTCAGCCAGCTGGCAGCAGGGTTTATCCATGGCACAGTGAGGCAGGGCAGGCTGATACACCACCAGTGCACCATCCCCAGACTCCCACCTCAGCAGCTCTTCTTCAGCACACAGTGCCTGGTTTTCCCAAGCTTCCAAGAACAACTCCCATAGCACAGGCATTAAATTCTGCACCTTCCAAGTCAAATTGTTTCCTGATTCTTGTAGTCACTGCAATCCCCACCACAGCCTCAGTTCCCTCAAATGTACCTGCTTTCAAAGGTGGGAATAGAGAGGAAGAGTGCATGGGTGGGGAACAAGAGGAAGCGACGCTGGGGAAATGAAAGCTTTCATCTCCACTAGTCTGGAATCTGGTGAGTTATTACCTAAAGAATTAAAGAATATGACAAAGGCATTATGATTAAGCCATAATGGTCCATTTGATCCCTCTGCCTTCAAAAAACACAACACAAACCGGTATCCAAAGTAGCAAACTCATGCTACACTTTCCACAAGGACTTCACTAGAAATCCCAGCCAGCACGGAGGAGCCAGGCCAACAGCCCCCTCCACCCACCAGAACTGGAAGAAGTCACTTTAATGGTGACTGACACATTAATCAAGTTAAATGAAGTCTTGGATATGTGAAGTTCTCTTTGCTTGTAAGAAATCTACGGCAGAACCCCAACCCTTCCACTCTTCTCCCTTGCCCCTGAAAAGTAAAAGATGGCAATGCCAGAAAACCATTAACAGAGTTAGTTGCTTTGATGCTGTCTCTGAGGAAGCACGATTATAGGTGGTTATTTGGTCTTTGGGGGCTCAGCAGTCACACCTCTATCGTTTCTTTTTGGTTTCCTTCTTAGGTTTCTTGCTTATCTGTGGAGCAGCTGCCTTTGGCTTCTTCACCGTCTCTGAATTCTTAAGCTCAAAACTGTCCGAGTCCTACAAGAATCAATTAAGAAACAGTTAGTAACTATTTTCTTACCCTTTGCTAACAGGTTGCTTTGGGGATTCAAGTATAAACCAGAGGAAACAAGTGCTGGGTATCTGTTGGAACACATTGATGTCAAACTGAGGCCACATTTAATGAGACTTGAGCAGCATCATCTCTGTTCCTTCTGCATGTGCTTTTTGATGAGTGTGAGTTTCTGCACAGAAACAGCTTGTTACCAGAGATGCCATGAAAAGCTTAAATATCTAAAACAGGCTTTGGAGAAGAAAAACTTTGAAGGCAAGAAGAAAATCAACACTAAATGAAAACTATTTGAATTAGGAAAAGATAACATATAATCATCAGGATGCATGGAAATAGTCAGCAGGCATTTCTGCCAAACATTAATCACTATCATGTGCAAGACAAAAAAAATATTCCCCAAAGTAGCAGTAAGAATATAAAGTTCAGAGGCTCTAAAATCCGAGGAGGGAATTTCAGGCAAAGCTTTCTTCATCTGGACTAACAAAATACTGAGATGTGATGCTTGTTTCCTTCAGAGAAGATGAGAGATAATATTGCAGCCATGGGAAATAAAATCTAGTTATCTTGTGAAAACACAAGGGAACAGCGCCAGTCTCCTCTGAGAAAGCACACACATGCAGATTGCCTCCTTTCATTAAATGCATTTGAGTATAAATATTGCTTTAGCATCTTGGGTTCTCTCAGCCTGAGTGTGCCAACTGGAAAAGGATACACAAAAAACGGCTGAGCGAGACGTGCGAGTTCCAAGCTCCCAAGCCAGAACTCCAGATAATGGAGGGGGAGGCAGCATCTGACAGTGTCCTTTTAATCAAAGAGCTTGCTTCAAAGTCTCTCAAGTTACTGGGCTATTACATCTCACATCTGTGTGGCTTTCCAAGGAAGGAGACTTGGCTGGCTTTCCACAGGCTGTGCTCAGTGCACAGGGAGCTGCTTGTTACTCAGGGATGCAGAATGCTGCTGCCATAACGTGAACACTGCTGCCTTCTAATGTCCAAACCAAGGCAGACTTCAAAGTTTGAGGCTCTGAGACAGCAAAGTTCCCCAACACCCTATCAGATTCAAGCATCATTCTAAGGATCTGGAGGGGCAGCCTGTGGTGTTTATGGTCTTGTAAACAAGTCATATGGACAGCACATCAAGAGGACAGTTTATATATGGAGAAAATAAAAACTAGAGTATGCAAACATCAAGGCATACTACAAAAATGAATAGTAAAAGGTCCTTAAGCCTTATCATTTTAACTGGGGGCTGGTCTCCAGTTTCTCACTCCAGACCAAACATCTCGCTCTTTTCAACTTTCAAGAATGGGTTTATCTGTTATTTCTCAAAAATTTACTGGGGAAATGATGGATTCTGACAGACAGGCACGGGTGGTGGCAGAGTAACAGTGCAAAGGTTGGACTCAATGATCTTGGAAGTCTTTTCCAGTCTGAATGATTCTAAGATTCTAAGACTTGCAATGGCACTGCATGGTGTCCAGCAACTGCCTGTTTATCTCCCTGCTGAGAGCTGCAGCTCATGTGCCAGGACAAGCAGGAGGGAGCATGACCCATGGCAGGACAGCATCACATCACACCAGCAGTTAAAGGTGGAAAAATTGGGTCATGAACTCTATCCTTCAATCCGTGCCTCATCCTGAGGCATTCCCTTCCCGCAAGAGGTTGAAAGTTTCCAGGCTTCTTCAGCACAGGAGGGAGCAAACATGGAAATAAAGAGTCTGAAAACAGAACTCTTCATGCTGAGTTGTTACTGAAAATATACCATCAACATGTGTATCAAAGCACCAAACTTGCAGCCTGATCACCTTGCAGCACTGAAATACCTGTCCCCAGCACCAAAGCCATTTTTCTCTTTAATGGAAAAAGCCAGGCAGATGGGGACATCCCTCAGTCTAGAGAAACACCTCACATCAACCTTTCCCTTTCAACTTCTGTGCCAACTCCATCAAAGGACCCTTGGGCACCGGATGGGAAAGCAGTCCTGAAAACTGCTTTCCTCACCTTTAGGATATACTAGAAATTCCACCTGCATCTTGGTTCCAAAAATCACACACAAACTGAAGCCCAGAATCATTTCCTGAAGGCAGGTCCTGCAAAGGGGATGTCCTGCCTGGCAATTAATGAAGCAAATCAGCAGCAGGATGACAATATGGGCTGGCACAAAGCCTTCTCTTGCAGCCAGGAACTGCACATGCATTTAGCACCTTGTCAGTGCTTCAGGTTGCTTTTTTCACTGATATTAAGAGAGATCCTGGCTCAGATATTTGTTCCTGACTTTCCTATCTGCTGGTAAATCACAAGACAGAAGCTGGAGGTGGGAAAGCCAGAGGGAAGGAAGGAGAATGAACAATGAAACTGCCATCAATCCCAGGGACAGCTGTGTTCTCCATCAGCTACTCAACATTCCCTCCCCTGCTGTTTTCTCTGACTCTGCCCATTTGTATCAATATCAAAGAGCACTACTTACTGTCTTGTGGGACTTGGACACGGGCAGGATGATGGCAAGCACACAGATCAGCTGGAAAATGGCTCCAAAGAAGAGTCCATAGCGTAGCACATTCTCCATGAACGTGGGCTCAGGGATCTCAGGTGGGGAGAAATCCAACTCTGCAGCCATTGTCAGTGCACCCTTCTCCTCTACTGCTCTCAAGAAAACTGGTTACTGCAAGGGGGAAAATACAGAGCAATTTTTTGCATCATCCTTTCTGGCATTCACTTTGTTATCCACAAATGATAGACTCCCTCATGGAGTTTTGAAGATACTCTTGATCTACTGGAGCAGTAACAAAAAGGAAAAGGAAAGCTGTGTTTAATTTGGGTATTTGTCTTTTGTCACCTACCTACAAAAACAGCCCTCAACTGCTGGTATGAGGCCATTTGTGGGTGAGGAGCAGACAAACAAAATATGAACCGTGTTCATGAAACAATAAGGGAAAAGCTTAATAAGCAAGAATATATTTCTTCCTGAAGTTGATCACACATGCAAGGTGATTACTACTTATTTTTACTTATATTGTCCATGTGGTCACAGCCTTATTGTTTTAGATGCTGTACAAACCCAACTACTCAAACCACACAGAAGCAGAGCTGCTGAAGGCAGAGGAACGAGTTATGTGTATAAATTTAAGTGTGGCTTTAGAGGCTGGTTACACTAAGCCCCATATAACTGAAAAAAAACAGTCTCACAGGTAGTTTGTGGCAGAGCTAAATATTGATCTCCTGGGTCCCAAGCTTCTCAGCCATGAGACCATCCTTCCTTCCTCCCTTTATCTTTTGCTAATGGAGTTGTCAATTTTCTCTATGAATGAGAAATGGCTTTTTACAACAAGGGAGAACTCTTCTGCCAGAATTGCTAGAGTATGCCTCAAGAAGTCCCCAGAGGGAAATCCAATTAGTCTGAGATGCCATCACACTCAGCTGTGATTAGTGCCCCACTCAGTTTTCCTGACCTGGATGATCCCAGTGTGCATTCCCTGGATCAGCACTGCTCACTGATAGTTACAATTCTCTGTACCACTAAACCTTGGGTGTGACTGAGTTTGTAGGCTGAGTTTGCCTCCTAGGAATTATCTCCAAAGCAGGAGCTATCTCTGCATTTCTCAGGATGGGAGGAGATTGTTACAATCTGCAGATGTGACCCAGTCCAGAAGAATGGCGAACGTGGCATGTAATTCCAGAGAAGTTATAGTTGATAAATTTGAGAATCAACTCAATGCCATTGCACAAGAGGCAACTATCACTTGGTGACACACTAAAGGGAGAGGTATATAAATTACAAAAAATAATTATTTAGTTTTCATTCAGCTGAAATACAGAATGTTATTTTGAATTTTAAGGCAGGAGAACACTTCCAACTGCACAGACTGCCAGCCACTGGAAAAGAGAGACTGTGGAATTCCTGCTACCAGTGATTCAGAAGGACAGATCAGATCAGCACTGGCCTGGGATGGGTGTGGGTATATAGAATTCTGCCTTTGAACCAGGAGATAAGAACAGGTGACCTCTCGAGGTCCTGTCCAGGTCTGTACTTCAGTAAAAGAAATAGTTTCAAATTCTGATTCAAGCTCAGTCAGCAAGGGCTGTGTGGGACCTGTACATGAAGCCAGGACACACACTGACCCAGGCAGGCTCAGCCAGTCCCAAAGCTGCTCAGTGCTGTGAACAAAGCCTGCATGCATGTGCCTCATCCCAATTGCTTTTGCCTTTTAAATCACCTCTCCCGACCCACTAAGGCAGCACTTCCTAAGCAAGAAACAGAATCACCTCTGAGTTGCATTTATCTCATCTGGTTATCTCTGGCAAACATTATTGCTGCCTGCCCCGTCCTCAAACACAGCAGGAAGGGAAGTTCCTTCATTCCTCACCTGGAGTTTTCTCAGGACAAACTCCTGTTGATAATCCTGATTCACACACCTGAAACACAACACAGAGATAAACAGGAAAAGGAAACAGATACAATGAAAACAAACAAAATCTCTGTCCTCATCTTCTACAACTCTCCTCCTTTCCCCTTTTCTAGCTCACCTCCCCTGAGGGCATTAGTAGTTCTCTAACAAATCCAGGTGCCATGACCAACACCAAGAACTCTCCTGCAGGCTGGCAGAAGCTGCCACCACCATCTGAAGCAGCATCCCATGAAACACGGTCAGAAAAAACCTGGCATTGTGCTCCAACTAATTGCAGCAGTGTCCTTGCTTGCTCAGGCAACCCACGCTCACACCATTGATTTTCCTGCCACCACTGGAGCCCAACTCTGTGCAAAATTCCTCAGTTTTAAAAACCTCCAGTGGTTCACACAATGCCCAAAGCCTCTGCCTTGCACCTAAACCAACAGGTCCCTGGATGGTGGAGCCTTCCTCCCTGTTCCCAAATAGTTCAGTTTCACCACTCATTCCTCAGATAACATCTCTTCTTCTCCACAGGCTGTCAACTGCCGTTCTCCTCAGACCACCTCACCATGGCCACAGTTAGCTTGCATTTAATGATCAATATTCCTATGTGAGACCCTGAGAGGAAGCTGCCCTTGCCCCCTGCAGTTATTGATGATCTCTGATACCCAGTGAATGAGCTGGAGGAGTGGGAAGAGCCTTCCTCTCCCCACAGAACCAGCCAGGGGCTCCTCAGGGCTGCACTCCTGCTTTGCCCAGTGACAGCACCAAAGAGGATGTGGCTGCTCCCCATGGCTCAGGACCACCCCTGTGGTAAATAACCAACATATTTCCAGGGTCAGGGCCATGCACAGCCAGGAGACACTCCAGCCTTTCTCCTTGCTCCTCTTGCTGCACTGTGCTTCCCAGCCGATGTCCTCAACACCTGGCACTGCATAAACAACTGGCAGAGGACAAAGCCACGGGAACAACTCAAGTAATATATATTAGCTTCTTCTTGGGGTAGAAATAAAGTACAAAGAAAGAATTCCGTCAAAGGACGAGGCAAAAAAAAAAAAAAGCTCAAGTCGGAATTTTTAACCGGCTCAGCAGGTGTCGGGAGGGAGCCTGGGCAATTTCTGCCGGCTATTGCTACCGCAGCGCTGAATCCACGGCCGAGCGGGGCCACGGCGTCCTCCATCCCTCCTCCCTCCATCCCTCCTCCCTCCATCCCTCCTCCCTCCATCCCTCCCGGGCCAGCCCCCCGGTGCCGCCCGGCCTCGGCAGGACCACCGAGCCCCCCCGGCTCTGCACTCGCCTCCCGGGGCGATGCTGGAGCCGCCGCTGCCCCGCGGAGCCCGGCCCGGCCCGGCCCCGCTCACCGCCCGGCCCGGCCCGGCCCCGCTCACCGCCCGCTCCGCTCCGCTCCGCCCCGGAACGGATCCCGCCCGCCCGGAGCGCTTCCGGGCCGGCCCGGCACCGCCCGCTCCCGGCAACAGACCGGGCAACCATCCCAGCGTCTGCCCCTGGCAACCGACTTGGCAACTGTCCCTGGCAACCATTCCAGCAACCATCCCTAGCAACCGCCCCGGCAACCGTCCTTGACAACCATCCCTAGCAACCGCCCCAGCAACCATCCCAGCAACTGTCCCTGGCAACCGCCCTGGCAACTGACTTGGCAACTGTCCTTGGCAACCAGCCCAGCAACCATCCCAGCAACCATCCCCAGCAACCGCCCTGGCAACCGTCCTTGGCAACCATCCCTAGCAACCACCCCAGCAACCATCCCAGTGTCTGCCCCGGCAACCGTCCCAGCAACCGCCCCGGCAACAGACTTGGCAACCGTCCTTGGCAACCATTCCAGCAACCATCCCTAGCAACCAACCATGGCAACCATCCTGGCAACTGCCCTGGCAACCATCCCAGCAACCATCCCAACAACCATCTCAACAACCATCCCAGCAACCATCCCAACAACCATCCCAACAACCATCCCAACAACCATCCCAGCATCTGCCCCTGGCAACAGCAGCTAGCAATGGTCTCTAACAACCGTCCCCAGCAATCACCTCTGGAATTTCCCCTAGCAACAGCCCCTAGCAACAGCCCCTAGCAACAGCCCTTAGCAACAGCCCCTACGAACAGCCCCTAGCAACAGCCCCTAGCAGCCACCCCTTGCAGCCACCCCCAGCCCGCCCTGCACTTGTTGCTAAGGGCGGCCTAAGGGCAGTCTGTGGCCTGTGGCACCAGGGGTAGTGGGGGTCTGGGGGCTCCACTCCATGTTCCTCCAAACCCCCTGAGGCCAATCAGCCTCATGGTCCGCGGGCCCCAGCTCAGCTGTGGGAGCCTCTGGGTGCCCAGCCCCGGTGGGTCACAGAATCCCCGGGTCAGTAAGGTTGGAAAGGATCCCTGAGGTCACCAAGTCCGACCTCTGACCCAGCACCACCTGTCAGCCAAAGCAGAGTGCCACCTCCAGTCTTTCCTCAAACGCCTCCAGGGACAGTGTCTCCACCACCTCCCTGGGCAGCCCATTTCAAGGTCTAATCGCCCTTTCTGTGAAGAAATCCCTCCTAATGCCCGACCTAAACTTCCTCTGGTGCAGCTTAAGGCTGTGTCCTCTCATCCTGGCCGGGAGCCCATGGCAGAAGCAACCCAGACCTTGACACCTCAGACTTAATGTACTCACCCCCTAAATCCCTGTGGGGGTTTTAATCCCACCATCAATTACGTGGCCTTTCAGTCCTGGTGGGTTTCTCTTTATCCACAAGGTTTCCATCTGCTCCCTTGACATACTCTGGCAGCATCAATCAAGATGTGCTTCTGACTTTGCTCTTGACAAGACTTCATGTTTAATGTCCTGTCCAGTTTCCAGCTCTGAACTGGAGATGTCTTGATAAGATGACTTACAAAGGGGGAAATGCCTTGGGCTCTGTTTTGCTCGTTTGTGATATTTAAAGGATCTGTTTTGTTTTGCCCTTTTCCTAATCCTAAACTATCAGAAGTACCAGGTTGGTTTTCCCGCAGAGCTTTATTACCAGAGAGCCTAAATACTTTGGGGAAAACCTACTGAGGAAGTAAAGTATGGCATTTGTAATAAAAGGATTTTCTAGGCTGTTGCCAAGCATTTGAATTAAGTGGATATTAATGATAACTATTTCAAAGATTTTTAGCAATTGGATTAGATAATCCTTCATGTCTATTAGTGCAGAAGACATTACAGACAACTGGAGAACACTGCTGATGAGTGGCAGAAGCCAGAGACATTTATACACAGAAACTCTTCTGGCATAATAATCCTAAGAGAAAATTACTCCTAAATGGAGCTTTTCCAGCCCCCAGTGAGTGACTAAGGGATAATGCCAGACCTCAGGAAAGCAGTAAATTCTGCTCTTTCACCTTCTTTCCTCCCCAACTCTAAATGTTTGGGATGAAAAAAAAAAACACTGAGAAGGAAGAAATAATTATTGAAAATGTCAGGAGGACCTTATCAGAATGGATTAACAGTCCTCGCAGATGGAGTTTGCAAAAGGGAAAAGACCCTCGTTACTGTATATTTGATTCATTTTCTTCTCTCCCCAACAGAAAGGGCACTACTCACCCCAAGCAGAATTAGGCAGGTGAAATGTGCAGTTTTTAGGCAGCTCCTGTCCCTCCTCTCCCACTCTATATCACCCCAAGGCCACCAAACCCTCCAGGGCAGGAGTGCCCCAGCAGGTGCTGCCCTCAGCCCACTGTGGCCCCCCACCTTCCACCAGCATCACACTGACCCACTCTGTGCACCTGACTGGGAAATGACAAAAAAAGGAAGCTATTTATTTAAAAAAAAAAAAAAAAAAAAAAAAGGGAAATTTTCCCCAATGCCTACCAGATGCAAGTGGGTTTCAAACTAAAATTTATTAAAAAAGGGGACACGACAATTTTGTCAGCACTCTGCTCTAGGTAGAGACAATGCTTGAGCAAGAAGTCTTTCTCCAAATCCAAACAATCCTTGGCTTTTTTTAGTCCTTTCTACATTTGCTCCGTGTGGTATTTCCTGCTTGTCTTTGCAGTGAGGCCTCTTTATTACAACTCACTGTACCTGTGATGCTTGTGCTCCAATGTTTTGTCATCCTCAGGTTGCACATTCGTATTCAGCCAGGGAAATAATTACTCATTACTGCTCTTATTTCTCATCCCTTACTGGAAACACAGCCTTCCTCATTCCCTCTCCATAAACCACATTTTGCCTTCTCAATGCCAGTAACATCTCACTCTTATTCCGTTTTTTATTAGTTTTATTCAGTTTTTTATTAGGCTTTTCAAAGGATTGAAGCTGCCTCTCCCTGTTCACTGATCCTGGCCGTAACCTTCTAGCCAAGGCTCCTTTCCAAACTGAAATGAGAGTGGTAAGACCAAAGATGAGCTCCTTAATTCCTGGCATTCACTGCTGGCATCTCAGCTCTGTCTGCCACGGCTGGAGTAGGAAGGAGATGGTACTTAGAGAGCCAGAAATTCAGGAATCAGTAACTCTCAAGCTTACAGCTGAGTGTAACGTGCTGCTGCCTGGCTGAAACTCCTGGCAGCTCACTTGGGCGATGCTGAAATTCTCCAAAGCTCTGCTAGGAAATAACAGAGCCAGACAGGTACAGGCTCTATAAATGGATCCCACCTGCAGAGCCTTCGGGCCTCCTGACAGCTGCACATCTCACAGGCTGCTGCTGTTTGCTGTTGTCAGGCTCAGGGAGAGCTCATGCCTGAAGATTAAGCAGCCTTTTCAAGCAGGCCTTTAACACCACGAGACAGTCCTTCTGACAGCACTTCTTACACATTCTGAATTTCTGATTTATTTTGTCTGATTTTAATCTGATCCCCTGCTTCAGACTCATTCTCAGTGTGCAAGCAGTGCTCTCCTCCAGAGTGTCTCCTTCCTTGAGATTATTTTGATAAATGTTTGTATTCGGCTTCTTACCAAATTTGAATTCCTCCAGGAAAAATGCTCCTCAAGAAATTATTGATGTTCAAAGAGCTGAGTCTGGAGGATCTGAAGATCCAAGTCCCACCCAACACTTTATCCTTCCAAGAAGAAGAAACCAAGTCTTGTATAATTTTCTAATGGCAAGTCTCACCACACCCGCTGGGTTGGAGTTTTGGATTTTTTTTTGTTTCTTCCTCAGAAGGAACCGGTATCACAGGCTAAATCTTCTCTTTCTCATCTCATTTAAGTTTGCTTGCTTTTCACAGAAATGACTGGATTTTTACAAAGAACTTAGAAATGAAAGTTACTGTGAACACAGCAGTAATGAACGCTGCAAGTAAAAGATTATGAATTTATTAAAATGTGCCTGACTTCTGCCACTTGGGATAAAACACTTGAACCAAAATGGGTTCCATCCTACCTCTATGGTGGCAAACCCAGGCAAAAACCATAACTTTTAGTCTTAGGCAGTTCTGTTTAATGCACCTTTAGGGCATTTGCCACAAGTTAGTCCCCACCCCACCTCTCACTCAAGTAAAAGCAAACCAGAGGGAACAGCTCTGTCCCCAGGGCTCTCTTGGAAGTGCTAGAGGGTGGAGAAGCCACCCTGTGTGACATTTTGGAGAAGTGCAGAAAAGCTTTTGACAGCTGAGAACGCAGGATGGTTTTTTGCCATTTGGTGAGTTCTGACTGCCATTAGTTTCAGCCCTGCAAGGCTGGACCCCATTTCCCACACTGCTCAGCCTGTCTGAAGCTGTTAGGTTGTGCAGCTGGAGTGGACAGGGGTGATTTTTTAAAGCATGGCATGGAGACCAGGGGAGGTAAAGCTGAGAGGAAATCAATACTGGGAAATTGCTTCAGGATCCGAGCTCTGTGTCCTTTGTCAGTGAAGGATTGGCACTGAAATAAGAGTAGCTGGCACGTGCTTCACCCAGGGGCTGTGGGGAGGGTGGGTCTGCTTGGATGCAACCCCGAAATCCAGCAGTTCCAGATGCTGAAGTGGCAGCTTCTACCTGGCAGTAGATTCCATCAAGCTTGCACTGGTGTAGGCTTGGGTTTAGAGGGAAAACTGAGAGTTACCTGCTGCTCATTTGTGATACTCACATTCTCTGAACAGAGAGAGCCATGATTCTCTCTCCCAGGATTTTTCCTGGGAAGCTGTGAGACGCAGTGATAAAGCTCAGAGAAAGAAGAAAACAATTCTTATCTCTATTGGCTGCTCCTGTTGTTTGGCACCTGTGGAATGTGTTATGGAGATTAAGAGTGATTTGTTAATTGGACACTGGTGATGGTTGTGTGGATTGATTGCCCAGTTGGGTCAAAGCTGTGTCGTGACTCTCTGGAGACAGAGGTTTTTCTAGTACAGTATTTATGTAATATAATTTCGCTTAATAAAAGCAATTTATTCAGCCTTCTGCAATGGAGTCAGAGCACGTTATTCCCCCTTCGAGGGTCGCTGCTTTGATACTCACTGCTAACGTGGAGATCTGTGGGAGGCAGTGAGTGTTACAAACCTCTGGCTTGGGAGCCTGTGGGTGCTGGCACTGCACTTGCTGTGGCAGGAAGGAGAGATGGGGAGAAACTGGGAAGGTTCTGGGGACAAACTAAGAGGTTGTCTAAAGAGAAAAAGCTGTTCATTTTGCAAAAATTTGTAATCTGTTGTGCCAAATTGTTATTGATAGTAACCCTGAAGAGAAATTCCTGTGAAGAATGCTGTCACACAGGCAGCTTGTTTAGACTTTGAATGCCACTTTGATAGTCCTGGAGGCAGCTTTGGGGCTGTGGGGAGCACGGAGCTGCAGCCAGAGCCCCCTTGGCATGTGCAAGGGGCACCAGCTCTACATGTATGACAGCCCTGCTGAAAAAAAGACCATGAGAACAGAGCGTGCCCTGCCAGCTCCAGCACACACTGCAACACCAGCAGGGATGGATGCAAAAGTGGCTCCAAACAGCTCTGGATCCTGTCACGCTCCATAGCATCTTCATCCAGGCAGCAGTGGGGATCACAGACATTTCTGGTGCTAAGCAGCAGCATGAGTCAGAGGGAGAGCCTGCAGAGTCTGGTGGAGAAGCTCCAAAAATGCCCTTTCTGGGTCCTGGGAAGACAGGAAGGTTTTGATTGAAGCTGGGGCAGGAAATCCCAGGGACAGAAATGCTGCTCTGTTTATGCTGATGCAGAACTCCTAAACTGGATGCACCCAACAGAGCCTTGAGGGTTTTTAGAAAATTTCTGCTGCCTCCTTCTGTCCTCTCTCCTGTTTTGGGTCTTGCTGGGTCCAGCTGTGCATGGCAAGAACCCAACCTAAGCAGCACAAGGAAAGCCCCGGGATGATGGAGCTTTACAGAGCCTTCTGTGAAAGCAGCTCGCTGAGATATGAACACGGATCAGAGCTCTCCTAACCCAGGCTGGGCAGCAGACAGCTATAAACAAGTCAATTATAGACTGATTCTCCCTGATCAGAGAAATATTGCCTGGTATCATATACAGCTCTGTGTAAGGCAAGGGGCCAGCTGGATGGAGAATCAGCTCAAGACCAGGCTTAAGATAATGCCTTGAAATAACACTGGCTCTTGACTGGTTTAACAGCATGATCTGATTCATCTGTTCAGCCAGTGCAGCACCAAGAGAGTGGAAGAAAAATAAATCATGCTGAAAAATTAGTGCAACCAGCCTCACATATGAGAGAACACAAAGATTCAAAAAAGCTAACAAAAATCCCTTTCCAGTGTGCAGGGACCACATGCAGCTGTGTGCACCAGGACAAGGATTTTGTCAAACCTGCTCTGTGCTACCCAGAAATCCCCCTCTGTGTGGATGACACAGTGATACACCTGCAAGAAGCAATGAGAGGCAATAACAGGGTTAGACCATCACTGGATGCACTGGGTGCCCTGCACACACAGGCACCCACGTGCACCCCAGCTGCACCATCCTCCCTGCAATCCCTCTCTGCAGCTGGGGTGCCACTGTGGTGCCAGGTGAAGGTATTTGGCAGCAGGCAGACGTGAGTCACGTCATCTGCTGAAACTTCTTCCCATCATGGAGTCATGCAAGCCCTCAGACAGGACGGTCTGCGTCCCCATCAGTTCTGGGCATTGTAAAGTCAATATGAAAAATCTGGCAGGTGGAGCTCCTGCTGACATCTTATTTTGAACTCCTTTGAACTGTCCTGGTGTTCTTGGCATGAAAGCTCCATTAGTTTTAACGGGGCTTTCATGAACCTTGTTCCAGGAATGAGCACAGCTGCCAGTGGTGCAGCACCCCAGGGAACACCCCTGCCTTTTTCCAGAGCACACAGATGGAGCAGAGCTCTCCAGCTGCTCTGTGGGCTTGGTGTGAAGCTGTGATGTTTGTGAGGGACTGAAGCATGAACTGTCCCCCTGGTGCAGGTGTGAGTAATAAAGGAGAAAGAGGAAAAGGCTGATAATCAAAGGAAAATAAAATAGCAAAAAAAGATCAACCCTCCTGTTCAGGCAGTGTGAGAAAGTACTAATGGTTATCTCACTCTCATTGCGGACTAGAAGGAAAAAATGCAATTGCAGAGGAAAAGCAAAGTTTACCAAGCAAAGTGAATTTGTCGTTCACTTTGCCAGATTATTTCTGTTATTTGCTCTTCACTCTTAGAGGGATAAAGAGAAATCGTGCAAATGACCCTGGGCTACGAGCACAGCCCCCTCCGCGCACACACACACGCACACAGAAAGAGGATGCAAACACAGCCTTTGAAATCCAGGAGGATAATTGATTCTCTGACGCGTGGAAGCCCACAGGACCCCTGAGGGAGATGAGGTATAAAAGCGGAGGTGCAGCTCCCTGGCAGCCAGAGGAGCCCGGGAGCTCCGGAGTGCCCACCCTGCCCGGCACCCACCCAGCACCCACCTTGTACCCACCCGGCACCCACCCAGCACCCACCCAGCACCCACCCAGCACCCACCCAGCACCCACCCGGCACGCTCACGGGGGCAGCTCCAGAGCAGAACTTGGATCTGCAACAGGGGAAGGAGCACCTGGGCGGGAGCTGCTCTAGGAGGAGCTTGTTTTCTCCAGGAACGGTAAGTGAGAGCCTTTCTGTGCATTTAACAAGATAATGTCTATTTGGAAGTTGGGGACAATTAAATTCCACTGAAATGCAATCAAAGCTGGAGTCAGGAATGAGCTTTGCCAGGTGCTTTTGTATCATATCAAGATTTGTACCAACTTAGCGAATGAAGCAACAATTGAGCTACATCGTAAGTGCAAACCGATGCTATAAATGAGCTTTATAAAACATGTTAGATGATTACCAGCTGTAGCACAGTTCTTCTCTTTTGCTATGTCGATGTGAGTTTCTTTTTCCCTGGCAAATGAACGGTGTTTTACCCACCCAGCAATGAAACTGTGTTTGAGCCAAAGTGTGAGGAGGACCACAACTCTGTGGTACAGGTAATGCAAAGCCAGCCACGACGAGGCACAGGGAGGCTTAAAAGGATTTCTGCTTTTCTAATGTGGCATTTCAGGGTATGAAAGTTTTGGCTTTATAAAACAGCAGGCATGGCAAAAGCCTCATTTCATCTACACAGAGGTATTTTGAAGACTGCTCAGGTTGAAGTTTCAGAATTGGCCAGAGGCAGTTGCCCAGCTCTCCAACATCACTGTCACAATGCTGCTGTTCCCACTGCATAGGATGGAACAAAGCTATTACACTTCATCTGCTGGAGTGGTGCTAAAAGCTCTTCATCTTAAGAGGGATTTATTTATTAATCATTTTTTCACATGCTGCCAGAATGGAAAGGGAAGTTGTCCCTCACCTCAGGAGAATTTCGAAGGTGACAATGTTTTGCAGAGCTGCCAAGCTGCCTGCACACAGGGTGACACTTCAATTTCCCAGCTTCTCTTCTGAAATAGCAGACACATCTGGAAAGTGATGTAGAACTTTCATTTCTGATTTATTCTTGAGAGAAAAGGGACACAGACATACCCAAAAATCTGGGAGCAGTCTGTAGCTAAGGGAGAAGAAAAAGCAGGATAGGGGAAGAAGGACAAAGCCAGAAACAAAAATAATATTGCAAATAAACAAATAGTGGAGAAATAAAAAAGGGATCTCAAATGTTCAGAAAGCAATTATAGAGAAAAACCTCAACATTTAAAGAAGAGAAGCCAGAGACAAAAAGAAAGTGATAATATGGGGCTGTATCCTAGGAAGAGGAAGCAGACAACGCTGGGCCAGGTTTTCATTTACATTGGCACTTCTCAGTTCACATAGAAGCTTCTCTAATGCTGATTAAATCTCCTGGTTGGCACTTTCTATAGATGCTGGCGCCACAGTCTGCTAGTACCCACTGGTAAATGCCTTAGATAATTTCCTCTATCTAGAAAAATCTGACTTGGGATTTTCTTGAAGATATTTAGGGAAGAGGCACAGAGCAGCATGTTTTACCAAGTTCAAACGAAAAAGTCGAAAAGGAAAGGGAAGCAGGGGAGTTGTTCTAAAAGCAGAAGCCCTGTACATGTATCAAAGTCCCCTTAAGCATTCCTTGGCTCTTTAGGGGGCCAAAGTGATTGTGCAGGAGGTAGGAGATGCCACCCATGAGCACAAGGATCTTTGCAGGAGCCACTGGGCTGTTCCCAGGGGAAATGCTGGGGAAGCTGCTGGTCCCATCTGGGAGCACAAACTGGAAACAGAGACTGGGTGAGAACAACTTTGTGATAAGAAACCTCATTTCTTAGAGTGACACCTTTTCCATGTCTATCTGTGCACTTGTGGCACTGCCACTAATTCTGTTAATAACTTCCCTGATGTCAACATCAGACCCCCCTGCAAGACCTCAGGTCCTTCATGAGCCTCCCCCTCTCTGTCCAAGCAGAAAAGAGAGCTCACTGATGATGTTTTCCATCAGAGAGCCTCCCTGCCCCCCCATCTGCAAAACCCACTGCTTGAAAGTTCACTTGAGCAATCAGAAGTCCAAGCAAACCCTTTCCATCTGGAAACGGCTCCTTTTACAAGGATGTATCGTTATACATTTGGAAGGGTGTTTTTTCCCTCCTCTTAGGGAGATCAAACATCTTTCTGCTTTTTCTTGTGTATAATAAGATAGAGAACACGCAAACTCGGTATTTTAAAGGTTCCTATCCACATTCTTAAAGAATCTTCTTTGAGCAAAAGATCAGTCGCTTTCAATGGAAGCTCAGGAAGAGCAGCATTCACTGAAATACCTTCCTACTGATGCTGGCTTGCAGGGACAAAAGCGAGGAATTCAGCTCCTCTCTGCAGCTGCCCAGGGTGGCTGACCCGGGGCCTGAGTCATCCTCAGCTCTCAGCCAAGGCACGAAGCTCTGCTGGAGCTGCTCAGCCCAGCTCACCCTGTCCGGAGCTCGGGGCAGCTGAGGGAGCTGCTCCCCACAGCAGGATTCAGCCCTAAGGAGGTGTCGGAATCTGTGGGTATTGATGATTCTGAGATTGTAGAAAGTCTCTGTCTTTCTGCCCCCCTGCCAAAGAAGAAGTCATAATTCGTCTGTGCTGGTTTCAAGATTGTTTATTCTGTTTATCTCTAACATGTTCTGCTGCCCTGCCGCAGCTCTGTCCTGCAGGGCAGCGTGTGGGGCTCTGCCCTCAGTGGGATGTTACAAACATTAAATACCAGAAACTACCTGTGCTGGATTTACAATAACGTGCCAATATCTGTCACCTACGTTGGACAGTGTGTCCCCAGCCTAAACCAACAGAAAAATGCCAACACTGCAGTGAAACATGGAGGGCATGAAGAAGGAGAAAAATGACAAGACACACCCAATTTCCTCCATCTTGTCCCCTTTGGACCCCTAATCTCGAATCCTAAAATTTAATTTTTGCACCTGTGCAACACTTAATTATTACTCTTATCAAACACTCAGAGCTTGTAATTCACCCTGTAAGATTGAAAACTCTTTTCCATGGGCAGAGATCACAGACAGTGTTTCTGGGGGCTCGGTACAGGGGGGTTCCTGACCTCCTGCCAGGGTCCCAGACCTTCCAGGGCAGCCAGAGGGAAGCCCTGGATTCCCATATATTTGGATTTCCCCGTTTCTCCCCAGCCTCTGGCCATCCAGTGAGGCAGCCCAGACACAGGTACCTGCAGGTACAGCCGTGTGAGCAGGCCTGGGAGAGCCAGGACAGGTCCCAGGGCTGGCTGCAGATGCTTCTGTGCAGGCAGTGAGGTTCCTTTCACATCCCTGCCAAGTGCTGTCCTCATCCAGGAGCTTTTACAGCCTGTGCAGGGGCTCCTGGGGCTCACAGCAGCCCAGAGAGAGCTCTCCTCCAGCCACAGCAGCCCAGAGAGAGCTCTCCTCCAGCCACAGCAGTGGGACAGGTCAGTGAGGGACTCCCACAGCATCAAACCCTGACAGAGCAGACACAGCCACTGCCCTCCACGGGGGAGACTGGGCCACACCAAGACATCCCTGCCTTGGGAAGCACCACAGCCACAGAGGCACATTTCCAGCCCCTTTGTGCTGAGGAATGAGCAGAGGGACTGAGAACACAAAGGTGGAACTTGGCCTCCCCTCACTGCCCTGACTCAGGCTGCTCTGCATTTTAGGTGACTCCAAGGGGTGGAAGATGCTGGATAAGGCCATCCTGCTCCTGTTCCTGCATTTAGTCTTGTGCTCCATCTCCTCTCCTCTCTACCCAGCTCTCAGGTAAGTGCTGAGTGCTTTATGCACTCTCACTCTGCCTCATCTCTGACCTTGTGCAAAATAAGCAGGTGTCAAACTAAAGTTGCCAGCACTTCTGAAAGCCAGCTGAGCTCTAAATGTGTTTCTTGACCTATTTCTCTGCTCTGTCTTAGTTTTTGGGTGCATTGCTGGCCAAGGGGTGATTTCCAAAGAAGGCAGGCAGCTGATGTTCAGCCCAAACAGTTGGGTTTAGAGTTGAATGCTGGGTTCTATAAAGGGAAATCTGGCGTTCTCCAGAGCAGGCAGCACCTCCAGCCCAAACACTGATGCAGCTGCAGGGTACCTGAAGTCAGAACTGCAGATATTCTCGTACATGAAATCTACAGATACCGACTAAGATTTCCTGTATTTCCATGTTGGGTCTTAGAAGCTGCAATACTGCTTTGTACCTCTACAACTCCAGAGAAGCCCAAAATCGAGCATTGGCTTCTCTAATGTGGATTTGCAATGTCCCATAGAAAATTCTTTAGCCTTGTGCCAAAGCCATGGCACAAAGACTCCAGAAACAGTGGGATTCTGCTCAGGGGTGCTGGGAGCTCAGTGAGGGGGATGTTTGTTTGAGGTGGCTCTATAAACCACCCTTTCACTGCTGGAAGAGCTTCAGGGCAGCTTCTAGCTGAGTGACAGTCACTGTGATACTGCTAAGATGGGATGAAAACTGGAGAAAGAAAAAGGAGGAGAGTAGGGAATAATGATTGAGAAGACTGAGTGCCAGTTGGCATCTGAGCACACCTCACAGTGTACCTGGGGTTTCTCTTGCAGGTACAGTCCAGGGCCAGTTGCTGGCAAGGCCATGAGCTTCCAGCTGCAGCACAGCAGCTCCTTGCAGAGCCAAAACCCCTTGGCAGAGGAGCAGGAGGAAGAGGGTTTTTTATCAGACTCCACTGAGAAAAGGTTTGTACCTCGCCTGCCAGCCCTGCTGCTGCAGGGTGTGCTGGTTGCAGTCTCCCCCCAGCCCAGGAGCAGCTCAGTTAGTCCCAAACCATCACCCATGTCCAGAGCCATGTCCTGCTGTCCTCACCAGCAAGGACACACTGATGGGGCAGGCTCAGGGCTCCTGCAAGGAACAGAATTTTCCACTGAGCTCTGGGGATCTGCAGGGATGCTAGAGCCTCTGCTTTCCATCTCTGCCTGGAGTCAGAGGATCCTTATTTCTGCCTGAAGTACAACAGTGCCACCAGCCCAGTGCTTTGTGCTTCCCTTACCTGTGGATTTTCTGGAGTCTGGGTCTAACCACAGGCTAGAAATCTGCTGGAGGTGCCTGTCACCTGTCCCAGACACAGCCCTGCCAGGAGGTGATGGTGCTGCTGCAGAGCACAGGAATAGCCCAGCCCTGCCCTAGGGATTGTATTTTGCCTGCTGCCTCCATGTCCGGACTGAGCTCCCTCAAATCCTTTACCCTCCAACACTACAAGGTGTTTGCTGTGGTTACCTGCCCTGGTATCAGCCCTGTGGCACCTGGGCTGTTCAGTTTTTCCTCTCTGACAGCTCAGAGAGCAAACAAACTGTGCTCCCTTTCCCCCAGGATGCAGCGCCACGCTGACGCCATATTCACTGACAACTACAGGAAATTCCTGGCGCAGATTTCCGCCCGAAAATTCCTCCAGACCATCATTGGCAAGAGGCTCGGGTAAGCCCCAGCACCCTGCTGCCCCAGGGCTGGTTTTGCCTATTGCCCTGGGCAGTGTTTTCCATACACCAGGCAGAAATAACTGCCTTTCACTGCAACAGAAGCAATCTCTCCTGCTGGTCCACATCCTGAAGGGAATCCTACATCCCTACAGTCTTGGATACCCCTAATCACAGTTAGCATTAAGCAGCCTAATTAATGCTTTCCTCCAAGGCTGTAAGCATCAGATCAGCTGAGAGTTCTGCTGCAATACCAACAAGCAATAATATTTGCTGGTAATATTTGCAATGATCCTTCACTGGTAGGGAACCGTTATCCCTGGCCTGGTTTGAACACAGAAAACAGCCTCTCCATCACCCTTGGCTACTTAGATCACTGACTGCCCCTAAACAAGACCAACTGGTCAGATGCAAGCCAGCCCAATCCATCTTCTAACAAAGCAGAAAATACAGTGACCAATTCCTTGCTGAAATTAAGCAGAATGGCCTTAGGCTCAGTCCCAACAGGTTCTCTTTCTGTGCTGCTCAGCCTGAGCCAAACTTTGAGTGAGGGACAAAAAAGCATCTCAGAAACAAAGAGGTTTCTCATCTTCACCAAACAGAAGCAGCAAGAGCAGCCCAGGGGAAGGGGTGCAGGAGTTCCTGAGCAGGCGCCAGTCCGACAGCATCCTGATGGACAGCCAGTACCAGCAGCAGATGGTCCTGAGGGACTTCCTGGGAGCCATCCTGCAGAACCAAAGGTGGGTGGGAATCAATTCATTCTCTGCTCACTGCAGGAACACACCCAGGTCCTTATTGCTGCCTGCCTTCCAAGCGTGACCCTACAGAATTGTCATTTCAGAAATACTCGGGGAAAGAATAAGGCTGACCCCCACAAGCAGGATGCAGATAAGAATAGCCTGTCCTGAGACAGCCTGCACCACACAGCAGCACACCACTCTGCTGTCTTCTCAGCCCTGTAATCCAGTAAAATATAGCAGAAAAGTGAATTTCTCATCGATCCAAATGATGCCATCCTTGTCCTCTTCCTTGACAGGCCCCAGGACATCGACAGCAGTGGGCTGGAAGGGTTTCCCAGCACCCTGGCTAAGCTCATGTAAATACTTCTCCCTTTTCCATCTCCCCACGCTCTGGTGAGTACCATTCCCTGCTCAGTCCTGTGCATAACTCACTGCTGCTGCACTGCTCAAGGCTTGAGGCTCTCCTTCAGCGATGCTCCCACTGCTGTCCATGAAAAGGCACTTGCTGCAATTTAAGGGGGGGAAAAAAAATCCCAATCAATATTGTCAAGTACCTAAAACCCTGCTAGTTTGAACAGGGAGAACACAAGTGCTGTGAAGCTGCATGTGGGTTCTGGGAACAGGCTTGCAGCAAGCCAAAGCAGCCTTGCAAAGCTGAGATAGAGTGCCTGAGGGTCTAGGCCAGGCTAAAGGCAGACAAAAATCTTTCTCCAGCAGCAGAACCTGTCTCTAGGTCCCTGGGACATGTCAGATTTTCCCTGCATTGGACAGCAGAGAAAGTTTTACTGTTTTCTGTATCCCTCAATCCTGAAAACAGTCAGCTAGGACTAAAATTATGCTCCAAATCTTGCTATTCCTGGGGGAATGAGAGCCAGCAAACTGTCCATCCTTGGGAATACCTCCACTTGATCAGCTGTCCCACAGAAATTAAGCCTGTCCAATCCTGCCAGCACAATACAAAGGGGTGTGGAGAGATCAGTGTGCACAATGAGCAAAAGAGGGGCTGGGGAAGAGAGGGAAAATCAGAACTCTACATAAATTACACCTGTGGATTCAGCTGGGAGAGTATAATATTTCAGCATCTCTTTTGCCATGCTTGACTTGGTTACCTTTCCACAGATAAGGTCAGTCAGGAAAAGCCTCCAAGGAATGAAAAAATTTCTGTGTGTGCCTATGAAGTTTTCTGGTAATTCTCTTTTCCTCCTCTTTCTGTCTAGAATAATTCAGAGCTCATGGACCAAACTGTACAGTGAGCCCTTCACAGCACTGAAGACAATCCCAGATGTGAGCAGCTGGAAACTGATGCATAGACTCCTTAGATCTGATCAAAGGAATGCAGTGCTGAAGTACTACTTAATTTACTCCAGCCTTTACAATTTAACTCCCCTCTTGAAATACTGCTCTGTACTAAACCAGAAAAAACCCACTTCTGTGGTTTAACCTCAGGCTGCTTTACACAGAGACTAAAAATAAGTGATACACTTGTAATCCTGGGGATATTTGGTCTACTAATTAAGGTTTCAAATCACAAAGTATGGCAAAATTTCTGCCAAGTCATATTTCTGTTTGAGAGCCTGATTAATAAATATGAGGCCACCAAAAGGCAGCTTTAGGCAACTTAGTAAATTGATTAGAGCGTTCTCTAAATTGATGCCGATGGCACAACCACACACAGCAAGGATCAGGGTGAGGTGAGACATGAATCCACACATCTCCCTTTCATTGGAAACACTGCCCAGGGCTGCTGCTGCTGCCTGGCTTCCTGACACAGAGCCCTGGCAGCAGAAGGAACTCTAAAGTGCTCAGCTACACTGCCTGCTCAGCCCTGAAGAGTTCAAGCTGAAATTACAGCCCTGCCAGAGCTAAAGGAGATCCCTGAGCATCAGATCGGGCTGTCACTGTTGTACTCAGCCTCCTATGAGTGCCAGCCCCTGGCTCTGGACTCCACCGTGGCTGCAGTTACTGTGAGTGTTTTAAAAGGAGTAAGTCATTATCCCAGTGACCTCACACAGCTCCTTCCTCCCTCTCACCCCAGTCCCCCTGTTGTTTGTGTAATAATTATGTCTTCAGAAATGTAAATAGCACCGGGATGGGGTCTGCTCTCCCATCAGCAGCAGGAAATAAGAGTCATTCTAAATAAACCTGTCCAACAGCAGGTCAAGATGGCTCTTTTGTTACCTTAATTTCTTGATTCTGGGCCCAGAATGGAAGAGGCTCCTCAGAGGCAGTTGTCAAGTGCACCAAGGATGACTCAAAACTGGGTTACCAAAGGCTCCAGTACCAATAATAACACCAGGCTTGAACCACAATGATATATAAATGTGTGTTAAGGCCTATGAAGTCTTCCCTCCTTGCACTCCAACAATTCCTTGTTAGTCTGCAGTAGTTACCAGCACCAGATGACATGTTTTAGGATAGGAGGCTCCAGTGTGCATGGAAATAATTTCATCCTTGCACCAACTCCCTGTTCCAGCCCTCCCTGGTCAGGTTTTACAACTCCAGCACTGGGGAAGTATTACAAAGCATCCAGCAGGACGGGGAACACTGAGAGGGTGTTGAGGGAGATCAGAGAAGCTGTGACAGCAGCAGGAGCATGGATAACTGGATAATGGATAACAGGATAATAGATAACTGCTACCCTTCCACGGGCAGGCAGCTGTCTGAGACATCCTTCTGCTCCACAGTGCAGAAACACACAAAAGAAGTAGCCTCAGTACTGAATATACACCTGAGTAGCCTGGCTCAAAATGGGTTTGTAAACCTGTTCTGCAACAACACACTCAAAGCCATTAGGACTTACTCCCTCCAAGGAAAGGAATTACAAAAAAATGAAGAAGATTCCTAAAGTAGTAAGTAGACAGAGTAGCAAAATGAATTTTAACTCTGTTAAGTGGCATAAAAGGCACATATAACTGGATTGGATACTGAAAAAAAAAATAAAAATCAAAGCCCTTTAGAAAACATTTTAAAAGTGTTTGGGTGATTGAATCTGTGTGATTAAATGGATGGGTGAGTGTAGCTATTTGGAATAAAAGAGGCTTCTTTTGAGGTTCAGTTTGCTTCAAAATGAAGAAAGATATGCTCAAACTCTGCGAGATTAAATATAAAAACAAATAAAGCAAATAGATATCTGAGGACAAAAAGACCAAAATAATAAACACAATCTTTCCTAATGCATAAGTAGCAAAATCAATATCAACACACACAGCTTAAGAGAAAATACACCACAGGGGCACTCGAAGATTTTCCTTTTGCATCCTTGTTCTCCTTGGGTAACACTGCAGCTCTATAGGCACAGGGAAAGTTCTGTCCTAGCACAAAGCATCAGCAGAAAGAATTAGTAACAAAACAAAGCTTCTAAGTGAGCAGTAACAAAATATGATGCTAAAAAACCATTTCAGGGTAAATGACTATGAATAGTAGCTTAGTTATTTCTTACCTAAAACTCCTTTAGCCCCAGAGGACTCGAATGCAGCCTGAGATCTGGTGCTTGAAGGAGTGCAGAGGAGGTCAAAGAAGTTCACTAAGCCTCTGTGGGCCCACCCTAATGTTGACACTGAAGCAGCAGGTAGGAACAGCTACAAAGAGCAGGAACAGTGAGCTAAGTGTGAGCAACAGCAGGGGGAAGAGACAAGGTGGATTTAATAAAGTGGGGTCATGTCTCACACACGTGAAATGCTCCACACCCTTTATCCACATGCTTTGCTTGCTGATGTCATTTCCCTGGATTTCCAGAAGACATTTGATAAAGGCCATTAAAGCAGCTACCCTTGACACAGGATGCACAGGAGCAGGGGAGGGAGCAACTCTTCTATGTGAAAGTTGCTCACCAGGAGGAGATTTAGGCCTTTGGTTATTACTATCTCTGAGTCCTTCAGTAACACCCAAAGCTGCTGCCTCAGCACTGCTTGGTGGTCCTGAGGGGAGTAATTAGGCAGGAAATGAGAGTTTGAGTAACTCAAACATGGCCACATGGCAAGCAGCAGACACCTGGCTTTTGGTTTCATAGAAGACCAAAAGCAACAACCTCATCAAACTTGTATTTGGAGTGAGAAGGTTACTGCCAGAGGCTGGAAAGAAAGTGAAGCCCCCACAGGACCCCCAAAGCTGCCAGAGAGAGACAAGCCTTTATGGAGAAAGGCAGCCACAGCCTCACCCAGGGGACAGGCAGGAGGGAAGTCCCCCCCAATAAACACAGCCCCCAGGAAAAGGACATGAAAGAACAGGAAGCTTCACACTCAGCAATGAGTCACACACGAAATTACCCACCAGAAAAAGCTCTTTTCATTCTCATGTGAACCCACCTTCCAATCACTGTCTCTGAGACACCCAAAAAGCAACACTCAGGACCATCCTTTCCTCCTCTTTATTCACAAATCTTTAGGATGAGGAAAGGGCACCTGGGGAAAAGCAGATTTGTATTTTCTTCTTCCTTTTTCTCAAAAAGAAATTCAAATGTCCTGGGAGAAGGGGAGAGGATCCAGGAAAGAAAAGATTTTCCAGATTCATATGAAAAGCACTCCAGTAGCATGAACATAATGATGAAAATAAAGACTTTTAAAAAAAAGTTGAACGGGCACCCTTTTGACTTAATATATAAAAAGGAATTATCTTCTGTCTTCCTCCTTCTGGCCTTTCAGTTATTTATTCGCTTCTGTTCTGAAGGCATTTGCTTTGTTTTTCCACATTTCTTCCATTCTTCTGGTACTAGTGTGTCCTGAAAAGAAAAATAATAAAAAATTAACTTTTCCAGGCAACAAAGCACTTGCTTGTACAGTACAAGGGTCCCCAGACCCCTCATTCTCTCTCAAAAGCAGCTCGTTGGATAAACTTCCCCAAAGCAGCTTATTTGAGTGATAAACCAGTACTGCTCTGGAATGGGGGATGAAATCAAAGGAGCATGGAAATGGTCAGAGAAAATGAAGATTAATTTCTGGCGCAAAAGGGATGAATGTCTAATAAATTACAGAACTGTACAAAAAAAATAAACCAAACCAAAAAACAAGCCAGGCTGAAGGCAAAGCCTGCAAGTACCTTAACTTCTCCTTTGCACAGGGCTGATCCATCTGCTGGCAATCCTTGGTCCATGTTAACACAAATTTTCATCTCCCCAGGAAGCTCAAGCAGGGTTAAGCATAGCAAACCAACCTTTTGAGGTCCTTTTGCCTTCCATGATGCCAGACAGACACACATGGCATGACACTCTTAACAGACATAGCTGGGGCATCAGAAAACTCAGCAATGAGGAAAAATACTTGTGATTGCACAAGGCAGCAAAATCTAACTTAGGGTTTGTGGATATTAAATTATTTGCAAGATCTCAGAGGCACAGACATGCTCAGAGAGCTGCAGCCCCTCTGCTTTGCAGTAAAGCTGAGGATGCTCAGCCTGGAGAAGGCCAAAGGGAGGGCTCACTGTGGCCACACAGGACTTGAAGGGGGTTCATGAAAAGGAGTGAGAGGGATGTTTTATACAGGCAGATGGGGCAGTGCTTTTAAACTGAAAGAGGGCAGGTTTAGATTAGAGGTTAGGTAGAAATTTTAAATTCAGAATGTGGTAAGGCACTGGCACAGGTTGCCCAGAGAAGCTGTTGTTGCCCCATCTCTGGAATTTGTTAAAGGCCAGGGTGGATGTGGCCCTAAGCAACCTGGTCTGGTCTAGGGGATGGTGCCTGTGGCAGGGGGGTTGGAACTGGTGGACCTTAAGACCCCTTCCAACCCAAAGCAGTTTGTGATTCCATGATCCTCTAGGATTACTTACAGCCCATAAGGAATGAAGGAGTTAAAATACCAGCCTGAGAAACAGGAAACATGCAGGCTGTGGAGAACACTCACTTGGTAACAGGCCACTAAAAGCTGCAAACCACTGGCCCAAAGCGATGTTAAAGAGAAGCCAGGAGCCTGAACAGCAAACACAGCAGCCAAAAGGAAAAGTGACAGCCACCTCCAGTTCCTTTTCAGTAACTTGCTGTAACTTGTTCTGTGCCCAAGTATCTCAAAACACTCCAGGGAGACAAAAGACAGCAAAAGGGTGTTCTTCTGAGGGACATGATGTCAAATTTTCCACAGGGAATTTCCATGTAACCATCCTGCATGCTCCCTGATCTGCAGACAGGAGCTCTCAGCACTGTGAACACCATTTGTGTGGCACAACCTCCCAGTGATGGTTTTGATTTGCACCACAAAACTGAGCTCCATTCACCTCCCCACACGCCTGGAGCACTGACTGTGGATGTGAGGGGAAGCAGATGCTCAGATGTACCTGTGCAGCACACTGTACAGTGATTTGTGTCACCACAGGACCCATCCCACAAACTCTTCCTTTCCCCACAACAAACCAATGCACTGAAAAGGAATGAAGCCCCCATGCACACACACTCAGAATTGGGCAGTCCTGCCTCCTACACCAGCACACAGAGCAAACTTGGGACCTTACCTCTTGGAATGAAAGCAAACAAAGGCCTTTCTCCTGGCAAATGGCAATGGAGACCCAGCACATGACTGTATGGAATGGAGGGGGCAGGGAGCTGCAGCTGCCTGAGCCATCATGACCAGTTCAGTCTAATGGGAGGGTGACCTGGGACCGGGTCGTGTTCTCAGCCGAGAGAGGTGGTGCTGACCTGGCTCTGCTGCACAGAGCTCTCACCACCCCAAATGAGGATCTAAATCAGCAGGCAGAGTGCCTGGCAGCTGAAAAGCCAGAATATTGCAGGTGGGGATAGGGAGTACCAGGAGCAGGGTGGGAACAGCCTCAGTGTCAGCCACTTTCATCACAGTCTCCTCCAGCTGACATTGCTAATAATTTATTTAAAAGAGCAATAATATTGTTTTATTTCGTCACCTGAGAGCTGTTTGATGCCCACAACAGCATATTTACATGTGCACGTATCACCAGACTTCAGATAATTCAGGAAATCACACAAATGCAATTTAGCCTCAGAGAACATGTCCTGCTAATATGCTCAACCCAGCTGCAGCCAGGGCACCCAAGGGCTGATTTTAAAGCCCACTAAGCAATGCTGGGGGATGCAGCTTCAGCTCACGTATTTTTTGTCAAGGGAGTGAGTAATGAGGTGAAATGAAACAGGCAGCATGCCCAGGGAAAGGCAAAATCCAAAAGGCCCTTACTTCCTGAAGAGCTGGTCACTAGCAAACCCCCTTTTACCGCAGCGTTCTATACTTTGCCAACCTACTGCTCTGCTCTGCAGCGATCCTGCCAAAAGGAGAGAGGGAGAAAGGTTCAGAGAAGACAGGAAGGAAGAAAGCAGCCCTGTTCCAGGAACCAGACCCAGTGACAGAAATGCAAAAAGCAAAACCAGGCCTTCTGGTAACTTCTGTAACAAGATGGTTTATACAGACAGTCCCCTTCCCTCTCCTTCCCACGCCTGCTGTTGGCCTCCACAGCTTCGCCTCAAAGTGCAATCTGCTTAATTGTCACTGCACTTCAGCATCTGAGACAGGCAGGCACTGCCTTCACAAGAAGATGTCTTTTTGAACATTAAAGTCATGTACAAAGGGTTTAACTTTAGCTTCAGAGAGAAGTTTTACTTTCAAATTTGCCATTGTAGTTGCAGCTTCGTGTCATTTACAGTGAAAAAGCACACGGACACCCCCTGCAGTGGTTTGAAGCAGGAACCAACCACCTGCATTTATGTGCTAACAGAAGCCCTGGTTGAGCCAAGACACTTAGAAATTTGTTTCATTGTATTATTTCCCCCAAATCTGTATCCTAGGCAATCTGCACTTAATAACAATGTCTCATTACTCTTTAAATGAAAAAGGAAACATTATTAAATGACATAACAGTCCCAGGGGCAACAAAATTCCCATAGGAAGTTATGCTAACACAATAAAATGCCACAGTGGAGAGAGCTGGACACCTGAGGAAGCAAGGCCGAGAAAGCTGGGAGGATAGTATGAAAATGGTTAATTACATTAATCATCCTCCTTGACATAGCCATAAATATAGAAATGTTTAAAAAACAAACCAATCAATGTAACCCTCCTGAAAATTATATTCTTATGTTTTTTTTTTTTTTTTTTTTACAGCTCTTGTCCTGGTTTTAATAGAGTGTAATCAAAAAGGTGAGACCCCAGGGATATCTATGCAGGTAGGCATCCAGTAGCTCAAAAAGGGAAAAGTAAGGAAAGCACAGGTGTGATGGCAAAGCAGTCAGTAAATCACCTTCAAAGTCAAATGCTACATTAGTACAAAAGCTTGAGTCTCAGATGGAAACTGTGGCAGAAGTGAAGGAGAGGGAATGGTGTGACCTCCAACCAAGGCACTGCAGTGGCAGCCTGGGTCAGCAAACTCTGGTTACCCACACCAGGGCAGTCATGTGTGGCAGAAGACACAGATGTGCAGAACGAATCCAATCCAGCACAGAAAGAAATGCTGTATCCCTAATACCTAGCAGAATTTTCTCTGGGTTTGCTAGTGTTAGCTGCCTCTTGTCTGTTGCTGCACAACTGATAAGCAGCTGCTTTCCTTTTCCCTACAATCACCCCTTAGCTAGAGGAACACAGCAGTAATTTACTCCCACCTTACCTTCCTCCTCTTAAAACCTTTATCACAAGCAGAGCTCCCAAATAGTTGGGCCTCTCCTACATTTATAGTGGCTTCCACAATCTGACACTATTCCAAGAGCTTCATTCAGCACATGCCACATGGCCAATTCTCTCTGCAGGAGCTGCTCCCTGGGGACAGCCCCTCACTGCCCTGCTCAGCTCAAGAGGCAGCGAAGTGGGGCTGAGCAGCCCAGCCCCACACACGAGGTCCAAGAGCCCAAAGCAGTGGTCACTGACACACAGCAGCAGCCTGTGACCTCCTCCCCACTGATGTTCTGACCCCTCCTTACCTCTTCACAGCTTTCTGAGCCAGCATCCTGTTGCCTGCCAGGAATGTGATGCCACCCAAAATGGCCAAGTACTTCAGAGTCTGGAACATGTTGAGCTGAGTCCAGTAGATGTACATGAGTCCCAACATTGCTGGGGAAAAAAAGAGACAGCTCATGGCTGAAATAGCATTTCAAAGACCAACCATTTGTCATCCTCAGAACAACTGTACTGCCAGGCCTAAGCATTTGGTTCCTATCTCATCTCTCAAGCTCTGAATGGCAGCTCTAAAGGCCACATATTATTGCCAGGGAATGAAGACATCTGGGTTCCCATGCTGGAGTGAAAATGTGACACTGACAGCTTGCCTGTGGCAGAATTATGGACATATTATAGACATTAAGGGCTATTAAAAAGAGGAGGATACGCTGGATTTCAGTAGGGGATATTAACCTCACACATCTGTAAGGGCTTACAGCTTCATAAAGTTTCCAAGTAACCTGACTTGGACTGAGAAACATAGTGACATTTGGAAATCAATTCAATGTTCTCCCAACCTGCAATGCTTTTGAAATTCTACCAAGACAGTAAATAACTGTGTAACCAAGGACACAATAAAATTGATGAAAAAAATTGGTTCAGCCAAAGAACCAGAAGTGCTTTTATGGGAAGAGCTTTGAAGAAAAAATGCAGCTTTTCA